TGTTCATTTATATGGCTACTTAGGGTTGTTCCTTTCCTGGCCGGGTTACGTGGTCGTGTCGGTCCGGTCCCATCTGGTCAAACTTGAATATCTCACTAACCCTTGGTCCGTTTCGAGTGCCGTTAGAACCGGACCCCACTAATTGGCCCATTGCGGTCGCGCTGGTCCAGTCCAACGGGGACGATTAGGTCTCCGGTTGACCGTACCGCCGCGCCGTCTTTCCCTTGATTTCGGCCAAGGGGAAGTCTAACCGAAGCGCTTGGGCCCATGACTGCAGACGCAATTTTGACGCAGCGTGGGAGTTGACCGCGGTGGGTCAATTTCCGTTGCCTCGCTGCATCATCTTCCGACAACCATACCAAACCCAATTCCTGGCGTCCTCGCCAGGTTCAGGCCACTATAAAGGCCTAATAGCTTACTCATTATCGTCATTTGCACTCGAACTCTTGCCGTCGAGTGTGTGGCGCTATTACGGTCTTGCTACTACTGCTGTCTTCAGCGTTCTTGACTCGCTTGCGTTCTTATCGCACTAGCGCTTACTATCGCGCAGCGCTTATAGCCGCGCAGCTAATTAGTTTTTGCCATGGCACCAAAGACGCGAGGGGCTGGCGCTGGACGTGGGAGAGGAGGTCGACAGGGTAAGGCGCCAGATCGACCGATAGATCTGACGTACGAAGGGGAGAGATCCGAAGAGGAGGAGGAGGATGTGAGATGGGGAGGAACGCGCTTGCGCCATCGCTGAGAAGACAGGCGGGAGCGCACATCGTCACTTAGGTCTATGATGTACTATGCATATAAGTATGAGCAACGCTACGACTCTCCGCCTCCTCGTTTCGATCCGCCCTCTCGATCATATCCTTCACCATATCATTTTTCTTCCTCCACTCAACCATCTCCTCGTCAGCTCACCGTCCTGCCACAACTGCCTCGCCCTGTGCCACCGCCGTTGCCACGTGCACCAGAACCGCCCGTCGCTCACCAGGCTGCGCCGCCCAACCATCGCTTGTGCCTCATACTTGCGCTGTTCTTCATATGCCAACTCGAACTGTGCGGCCTTATGTGCTATCTGATATACAGGGGTATCATATAAGACTATATCCCCCAATCATCAGGGTGATCGCCCGCTAGGGCTTGAGTGCTCACTCAATAAGGCATGGATCACTGGTCCAAACCACCATCAAAATCAAGAAAGAATTAACCTTATTAGACTTGCGTGGTGCAGTCACCGCACGCAAGTATCATGACTGCTCATGCAGCTCAATCATACTATCAATCCCGTTCCCTTGCATCACTGAATCAGCCTCAATCTCACGACAAACCTTTCATTAGGTTTGGCCTCATGCATCATCGTGATCGATCCTCAATCTTAGACCTGACCCCATTGCTAGATCTAGTCTAGCAGTCAAAGTCTCAATCCTGGCTTGCACATCTCATCATCATTGGATCAGTCCATCTTATCCATACTGCCCATCAGTGCAGCATAACCCTCATCGATATCTCAGCCACGGGCGGATATGGGACCAATCATCGCATCCAGGATCATCCAGGTCATCTAGGCCGAAGGCTGCCTCATAAGGGGTGAACATACGAAACCCCTTTCTCTTTGTCTGTCGGCTCTGTGCCGCTCACTGTCGGGTCATACCAAACCTCGTTGTCTTCGTCTGCCAGCTCTGTGCCGCTCACTGTCGGGTCATACCAAACCTCGTTGCCTTTGTCTGGCTGTAGGGTACCTGCAAAACAGATGTCAAGTCATGCCTCAAAAGAAAGACGAGAAAAAGAAGGATCTCTCCTAAAGACCCTTGCCGACACCCCTTCCTCACTCACTCTCAGAGTCTTACCTTTTCGGCCTTCCGAGAGTGCCCCCGCTCGCCCTGGTGGGCTCCTCCGCTGACCCAACCGGGCAAGCAAAGCAAAGTCAGTCCTGATTCCCAGTCATGGCGGTCCGACCACCCTCTGAGCGCTTGCTCAAAACAGCTCACGAGGAGCCGCATACCCCTTCATGAAGCCCTTACTCCGATGAGTCCAGGCCTATGGTGCGGAAGCTCTTTAGTCGACTTCGGAGCCTTCGTCTACTCGCTCGACTTCTTTCTAACGCCCGGCTCTTGCTATTGTGCGGGGAGCCAGCCAACACCCAACCAGACACTGCTGGTGAGTCAGAGCGAGTCCACAACTAAGCTCTGCAACAGTGGGCTAGGAGGCCATAATGACCCTGTCGCCAACTGGGTTGTGGATACCTGGCTTGGCACGGCGCCAAGGAAATGCCCCTGGAGACACTGCTCCCGAAAGACACCCCGATCAGAGTGATAGTAGGAGTCAACCACCTTGATAAGCCAAATGTCGGATTTTGACTGGGAGAGGCTCACGATGCCTCCTTCCTTTCCAGCAGGCGGACCAAGTCACCATACGATAACCTGAGGAACAGCTAGCCACCCTAGGGTCTGGAGTTATCTGCCACTATGGCTCAAACACCCTGCTGACCCAACTAGCCTCTGGACCTTGTGAGAGCCTGCTTAAGGGAATCATCTCTTGCTCAAGAGGCGCAATCGAAAACTCTTCGCCTCTTCATGAAGGACGCAAGTGCTGACACTGCAGTGGACGCCACTGTGGATAGACTCTCGTCGGAGAACCGTTGCGAGAGTCCGACGGCTGCAGTGAGAACATTCCTTCCAGCATAAAGAATGCAGCGAGCCTCAATCCGCTGCGATGCTAAGTGATCTTTGCCCGATCACATGATCGGACATATGATTGATTACCTATCCCTTTAGAGCTTGGTAGCGTTTAGCCGCGAAGGCCCGTCTGGAGAGGAACCCCATCTCGGCGATGCTGAGTCCCTTGCCAAGGGAACACTTCACTAGGCCAAATGTCACCGTCCTTCAGAGATAGTTAATCAATTTGTGCCAGATGATGCTAGGCAATCCTCCTTACACAATCGTACTAGAAGGTTGCCCCATCAACTGAGCGCTGACTTATGAGAGGAAGAAAACAAATTTTACTTTATCCCATAGCCATTCATTTCATAAATGCCATTCAGACTAAATAAATACAATAAGAGGCAAGAACTGAAAACCCATAAACTGGCTCCCAATCCCCCAGGCATGTCTTAGGACTGACACATGACAAGCCAGATACAATGCAATGAACTGAAATTTTAAAAGTTTAACTCACATACATGCAAAACTGGGGCCAATCTGGGCCCGACAGACATATAAGTCCACCAATGAGCCGAGTCATCATAGGCTGCTTGTATCCAGCTCCGACATCCGAAATCATACCATAATCATAGCAACCGACTGTTGGCTGCTGCTGGAGGCACACAGGCCACGTCCTAGCACACAATCATCATCGATAGTTGGCGGCTCACTGGCCACGTCCCATGCAAATAATCATCATCATCTGTAGTGGCGGCAACACTGTCCGCATCCCAGCATATAATCATCAACAACTAATAATCATCGGTAGCTGGCGGCTCAATGGCCACATCCCAGCTAATAATCATCATCATCTGTAGCTGGCGGCAACACTGTCCGCATCCCAACTCATAATCGTCATCAACTGAAGTTGGCAGCACAATGTCCACATCGCAACATATAATTGTCATCAACTGAAGTTGGCGGCACACTGTCCACATCCTAGCATATAATCGTCATCAACTGAAGTTGGCGACACACTGTCCACATCCTAGCATATAATCGTCATCAACTGATAATCATCCCAACTCATAATCATGGGTAGCTGGCGGCTCAACGGCCACATCCCAGCTAATAATCATCATCATCTGTAGCTGGCGGCAACACAGTCCGCATCCCAACTCATAATCGTCATCAACTGAAGTTGGCGGCACACTGTTCACATCCCAACATATAATCGTCATCAACTGAAGTTGGCGGCACACTGTCCACATCCTAGCATATAATCATCATCAACTGAAGCTGGCGGCACACTGTCCACATCCCAGCATATAATGGTCATCAACTGAAGCTGGCGGCACACTGTCCACATCCCAGCTTATAATCGTCATCAACTGAAGTTGGCGGCACACTGTCCACATCCCAGCGTATAATCCTCTGAAGTTGGCGGTATTCTCACCACATCCCAACAAATGTTGAGGGCACACTGGCCACATCTCAGCATGTCTAGGCTGATGCTAGACGGCTCTCGAGCCTCGCCTCATCACTCAACCCGAACTCGGAATCAAATTTGCATCCCTAAGTATGAATTTTTGGAGCCGGGAGCCGGATACTGTACCATGGGATCTCGTACCATCCATCTCTGCTAACTCATAGGCCTTGCCTTCAACCTCTCTGGTGATCCTGAATGGTCTCATCCACCTGGCCTCCAATCTCTTGGTCCACTGTGTCTCGAGAGATGTATCATGTAGAAGTATAATATCCCCGACCTGAAGTCGTTCCTTCCTGATGTACCTCTTGTTGTTCCATCGTGTCTGATCAGATAATCTGCTGTTTGACATCCTCTTCGTGGCCTCAATTATGGCCTCATCCACTTCCTTGATCTGCCTGATCCTCAGCCTCAGTAACTCCTCTGTGGAGTACGACTCTCTCTGTGCCTCATGGGTCCAGGTCTCAACCGGGTTCTCAATGGGAGAAGTAGCATATATGCCATACCAGAGTGTAATGGGCGCATAACCTGTAGTCCGTTTGACGGTCACATCGTCAGCATAGACTGACGCCCTTAAGAAAGATGGTCAATTCCTGGAGTCGCCTTGGCACCATTTCGATATAGCATCCTTCAGTGTCTTGTGGCCTCTCTCCACTGATGCATTAGCCTGAGGATGATATGATGTCACAAATCTGATCCTGACTCCAAGTCTGAACATGAGCCTCCTGACCATCTCGTTCTTGAACTCTGATCCCTAATCAGCCACAAGCTCACGTATGAAGGGGTACCTCAGGTAGATTTCCTCGATCCAATCTGTCACTGTCTTTGCAGTTTTCTTACGGATGGTTTTTGCTTCAACATAACCAGACATGTTATCTCTCTCATCTTTAGTACATATTTCATTCCATCCTTATCTAGTGGCATAGCAATTAGATCAAGGTGAACAGTACTGTCAGGTTCAACAAGAACAGTGGGGTATAAGGTTTCAATAAATCTCATAGATCACCTTTTCTGACAGGCTTCACATGACTTACAATATCTCATAACCATATCCCTTAGACCATCCAAGTGATATAGTCGAGATACTTTATAGTATGTAGCATCAGCACCTCTATGACCCCCTGCTAAACCCTCATGAAGTGCTACGATCACCTCTAGTTGTCTTTCCTTACCACACACTACTCTCAGTGGCAGTAGTCCTTCCTTAGCATCCACAAAAAGGTGACCCCTACCCAGCCTAAAGGTTCTCTTTGTTCTCTCATGGTAAAATTCGTCCAACTGATTACTGCTCATTACCATACCGATCCTCTTATATTCCCCATCATACTCATCCTTCTTAAATCTCTCCTCAAAATCCTTATCTTGCTCCTGGTCATCCGGCTCATCCTCTATCTCTTCCAGCCTTCGTTCAGCCATCCTTAAACTCTCTTCCAACTCATGAGCTGCAACAACAGCTTATTCTACCATCCTGTACCATCCTTCTTGTTCATCCTCTCGAGTTAGGAGGTAGTGGAGGTAAGGGTCTTCCTTTTCTCCCCAGCAGTCTTCCCTGCTCGTTGCTATGGCTGAAGCTGTATAACAACTGGGAGCTGGAGGCAGTCCTTCATCATCGTCTACCGTAAGGAATTCGTCAACGAAGGGCGCCTCCTCAAGAGATTCATCATTTATTGATCCCCATTCCACGCGGCTCAGCCTATCGGCTCGATTCTTTTCAGTAGGTACCTTCTCTAACACAAAATCATACGTCCATATGTGTGTTATCCACCTACTAGCCGTCGCATCTACTTGTTGATGCTTCTTAACCGCTCCGATTACTTCCGTGGAATCCGTTCTTAGGATAAATCTCCGTCTCATAACATAGTGTCTAAATACCCCAAGGTAGTGCAGCATTGTCAGAAGTTCCTTCCTGAACTGAATATAGTCTCTCTCTACCGAATTAAGGGCGCAACTCTCAAATTTAAGTGACCTTTCTTTACCATTCTCATCTCGTTGCACGAGCACCCCTCCTAATGCTATAGGGCCGCCATTGGCTTCGATGATGAAGGGTCTCTCCTTTTCATCGTCGAAGTAGGGTACTCCTAACACGACCCCACCATCTCTTAGCTTATCTTGAAGTACCCGCGCAGCCTTCTCTCTTTGGCTAGACCACTCTAAGCTAGCTCCTTGTCGCACCATTTCTCTAAGTGGCTCGACTATCTTGGCGAACTCGGGGATGAAGATCTGCCAGAAGTTGCAGACCCCTAGGAAGCTCCTTACTTCCCCAACCGCTTTTAAAGGCATAGGCCAGTTCAGAAGTTTATCCACTTTCTTAGGATTATGACTTCTTCCGTCCAAGAAGCACTTGAAACCCAAGATCGTTACCTTCCTTTGGAACAGTAGTCATTTCGGTCCGCTAGCTGTTAGGTTGTATTTAGCCAACCTTTCTAGTACTTTTGCTACTCCATGCGCATGTTCTCATACGAACTGCCTGACTCGACCACCCACTAAAGTCTCATCTTTTTTCTTCGGTCCTTTAACTGGATTGTCGTCAATGCATGGAAACGTAACCTCTGGGCATATGTCCTCCATAACCTTCAGCATATCTCGCTGGACGACCGTGACCCCATTCGTCCACCTTTGAGGCACCACACATATTTGTATGAGGTCTCTAGGTGTATGCATGACAGTCATAGGTCGACTAGTAGGGTCTATCGAGAACTGGTCATAGTCAGAGTACAAGTCTACTAGGGAGTAAATGTTTCTTCCGGCAAATGACTCGGCCAACAAATCCGCGTTGGGCAAGCTACCCGCATCGCGAACCGTTACCGAATTTAATTTTTGCAAGTTTTGTATCCAACGCAGGTCACCACCCGGCTTCCAAAAGCAAAACTAGTGATTGGCGTAAGCTCCATCAGTTGGTTCCGCAACGTTGGAGGCGATTTTTTGGTTTATGTACTCCATTACCTCTTTTTCTTCTTTTTGGGCATACTTCGCAGGTCTATCATTCCAAGGCGTGTGAAGAACAGTCCAGATCTTGACCATCTTGATCATGTCAACGTCCAGTCGGCCTTTCTCCGCATCATTAAAGGAAAAAACACCACTGTATTTCTGACATAATTCGTATATGAAATCCCTCTCAGCTGGCAGAAGGAAGTCATTGGTTCCTACCTTCATTATCTTAAACCTCTCTGGGTAATTCTCTCTCCTTTTAACGCAACCTCTCTTAATTTTTTAATTATATTTCTCTCCTTCTCTAATGCCTCATTGTAATCTTCTTCTATCAAAACTGCCACCGGATTCTTCTTAACGTCCTTGCGTTTATACTTCCTTTTAGATCCGGTGACTATTCTTCTAAAAAAGGACCAGTTGCAGAGAAGGTGAGCTGCATCGTGCCAGCTTTGGCTGCCCTCACAACATCCTTAAAACCTTTCATCTCTCTCTTATCGCCCATCTCCTTCTCTTTATCCAAGAGCTTGAGCATCTTCCCGATATCATTCACTCTAATCGTCGTTTTCTCGTCTATTATTCCACTTTCTTTCAGCTTTGCTTGTACTTCCTCAATCAACTTGTAAGATTCCTTATGCTTAAGAGAGTTAACATGTCGCTGATGATGAGTATGATGCCTATCACTTATCACAAAAGTCTGTTCTTGACCATTGTTAAGATCCTGGAGAGAAAGCTAGGCTGCCCCATCATGCCCAAAGAATGCACAAACCTCCATTCTATGTAGGAAAGGGGCTCCGGGAATGCAATCATGATCCAAGTTGGGGACCACAAAACAGAGGATCTCGGCTTGTAAAGTTCTAATCCGAATGGGAAGATCATCAATGAATCCTTCCAATGGCAGGAATCCGGCTATATTGGAGAGTTGATGATTGGTCTTCCTATCTATTCCAAGCCCACATGATCTCATCGTGACCGAGGACATAAGCACCATCTCGGCCCCAGAATCCACTAGGGTTCTTACCTTCACGCCATTCACAAAGATATTCAAGTACCCGCACGACATGTTACAAAACCTCATCTTGGTACCAGACGGGGCTTTTTCCACATGCTGAGGAAAGAGTCTTAGGCTATTGATTTCTACCTTCCGTCTTTCAACCATCTTTTTAAGTTCTTCTCTAAACTTAGGTATCAAGGCTACTGCTTCTTCTAGGATAGAGTGATCTCGGTCTCCTCAAATAATTTCTTTACTACTTCATCTATCGAGATCCCTTTCTCGGCTTCGGATCTCAAGACCACCCTTCTCTTCTTTCCGGCAGCTTCTTTTCCTTTTCCTTCCTTCACTAGGTCTTTGGTCCCATCTATCAGCTGGTCTAGCTCTCTTTGAGTCTTCTCTCGTTTTTTCTCTTCGACCTCTTTTTGGCTGATATGAGATACATTCAGGCTTTGACTCCCAGGATTATCATCTCGAGCCACTATTTCCGGAGGTAGCATATCATCAAAGGTGATAACATTAACTTTAGCCGTCTTCTTTTTATCCTTATTGGCCCTAGCATGTTCTAGGACAACTACTCGCATCCCTCCTTTGACTCGGAAATCTATCTTGTTCCAATTGGCATCACAGACGTGCCCATTGACATTCTTCTTGACAATCCCTTCTTCGAGTTTCTTCTCTAGTAAAGGGGACCAAGTTATAGTGTGGCCTTCCTCATCACAATAATAACATCGGAAGGTGTCATCTCTCCTTTGCCAATCTCGGCTCTTATTATCTTTCTTTCAATTCCGGTCACGCTTCTTCTTTTGTCTCTCTTTTCTCCTTCGCCTAGCGTCATCATCATCACTACTCTCGCCCTCACTCTCACTCTCTTCCTTTTGCTTCTCCTTCTTTCTTTTTACCTTACCTTCTTCGGCTCCAACAAGTGCTTGAGTTGCTGGGGCAAGAAGGGTTAACTTTTCGAAGCTACCAAGCTTAACGAGAAGACCAAGGATCTCTTCGGCCTTCAAATTTTCTCCCTTAGTTGCCGCAACATTTCCTTCTCTTGCACTAGTGATTGCTTTCATTTGTTCCAGAGACCACTTCCGATTTGACACCGAAGGTAGTTCACGGACCATCTCAACCACTTCATCCCACTTCAGAGGATAATGAGCAGTGCGGCTTACCACACTCTTTCTTTCATCTTCTGTAAAATTAGTTAGCAGGACATGACACTTCTGGGCCTCATCCAGGAAGGATACTCTCTGCGCAACCCGCTCAAAATCCTCTAGGAGTTGATCAAAAGTTGCATATTTTGAACGTCGCACTTCCAACAAATTTTGCATGGTCGTTGGAACGCCATACTTTGCATATTCTTCGAACATCTATTGTCTAACCTCAACCCATGTTGTGAGTCTTTGTATCATTTTTGTCACCGACACCCTCATCTTAGGCTTAACATAGGCTAGCAGAGCTTTTAACTTTTGTTTGTCCGACCAACCGTGGCTCATACCGAAGACATAATAGTCTTTCAGGAACTCGCTAACCTTGGTTCCATCAAAGCAGGGTATGTTATCTTGAGGTACCTTAGCTCTTGGAAGGTCTAGACAAACATTCATAGTGTCCATCCCAGTCTTCATGGTCTCTATCATTTTCAACATTTTTTGTATAACAGTGGTAGTGGTCACTTCTCCGTCACTTGCGGTGGAACTAGCAAGGTTCTGCCTTGCTTCCGGTCCCCTGACCATCTTGTCTGATTTACTGGTTAAACTCCTATTTCTTCCTGAACCTTTTCTCTGTTATGATTGCGTTTAGAATTGGTTCCCAGTTTCTGCCGTCGGTAAAACTTTCCGGCAAAACTGGTTCGGGAAACCTGTTAAACATAATCGGAGCTAGGTTACTCACTACTCTTGCCCCTTTTCTTTCTAACTCTCTCTTTTCTTGATCAACTGTATTACTAATCCAACTTCGAAAAAATTTGCGATCTGTCCCTCTTTCTCTTAATGAGGGAACATAAGGTCGAATATCGTACACGTAGGTGTCAAGGAACTTCACCACAAGGATATGTGTCTTCCCAGGTGCGTGTTTCTCCTCCAGGGATATGCAGCATTCTATCTTATACGGGAAAGCTCCTCCACTGGTAAAAGGAACTAGGGCGTCTAGTGTTGCCGTGACTGCCGGACAGTAACCAGACATTGCCTAGTCCCTAACGACCCCCATGATCCATCTAATCCTTTTCAGTGCCTGAATCGTCAATGTTGACACTACTTCACTTCCTATCTCTCAAAACGACATTAAGAATAGGCTCTCAGTCCTTACCATTGACGAAGCTATCTGGAATAGGAGGACTTGGAAAACCCTCGTACTTAGTAGGCTCCACACTCCAAGTAACTTTCTTACCTTCCTTCTTGAGTTCGTCTCTGTATTTACAGACTTGACTAGGTGCCTACTCGTGACACCCGGTATACCGCCGACAAATCTTTCTAGTCACTTGAGTGTATATACGCAAGTCATATTCATTGGTCTCTAGGAAGCGAGTTACTAACACATACACTTTTTCTTCTGCCTCAGGTATGGCTAAGACAGTGTATCTCTCAATCTTATAAGGGAATGCCCCTCCTACCGTGAAGGGTTCCAAATCCCTGAGTAAGTGCGAAATGACCAAAGAATTAATATCTGGTAACACCCTTGCTTCAGCCTCCTCCCAAATATATCTGCTTCCTAGGAAACCATCATTCTCCTCAGCCATAACAGGCTCCTTTCCATTGTTAGGTGAGGAAAAATTCAGGAGAAGCCTTGTCTTGAACTTCGAATCGCCGAACGAAGCTATCGGAAAACAGAATCTTCGGTCGCATGACTAAGTCATTCTCTCTTGCCTTACCAACCACGACAATAGTTTCTATAAGAGGCGCCCAGTCCCTCATGTCAGCAAAGCTATCCGTAGTCAAAAAACTAGGGAGCCTTTCGAATTGCCTGACTCGTTTCCCCCAAGTCACTTTCTCATCCAAACTTCGAAGTAGCTCCTTTACCCTAGAGAGATGAATGCACACTCTCCTCAGACACTCTAAATAACCCTCTTCCTCTTTTATTCCTTCCTGAGCATAAACCCTCACATCAAGCTCGTTGGTCTTGAGAAATCTGACCACTGGAACATAGAATACTAAACGCTCTTCCTTACAGACGTCGTATCTCAATATCTCAAATGGGCTATCAGTCTCAGTTACTTTATCTAACCATCCTCTACCAATGGTCACAGTCGCAATTGACGTAGAGTTTTCACATTTCAATATCATTGTCTTGGGCTGCTTCTAGCGCTTCTAGCCAGACTGTCCGCAGGACGCTGCCTAGATAGGATCGTCTCATCTCTCGCATGTAGCATCACTCTCCTGTCGTCAGAACTCTTGCAATCCAACAGATGTCTAATCTTAGTCTAATCCGTAATTGCTCTAAAAGCAGCCGCCCGCATAAGTTCAAGGTAGTGCTCTACCATGTCAATCTCATCGCGCCCACCTAGCCTAGTGTCGCATCCTCTCACGGCCCCGATGACAGTCGCTCGTTGCTCATCTAGATAGACCTCGAAGTAGAAGTTCTCTCCATCATCAGGAATGTAGACATCTCTTGGCATGGCTCAACACACTCGTTCCCTAAGTACCGCGTTGAGGATTGGTCCCCAGTCCTTCCCGTCGCAGAAGCTGGCGGGCACAGGCGGACTTGGGAATCTCTTAAACTCTCTAGGCAGGACACTCCAAGTCACTTTCTTCCCTCGTTGTCTCGGCAACAGCCTCTCATCTAGAACATACTCAGCAGCAGCTATCCAACATGCCTCATAATCGATCCCTCTCCTTGTCTCAGCAGCTACGTATGGCCTCACATCATAGTCATCCGTATCAAGAAACCGAGCTACAAGGACGTACAAGATCACTGAGTCATGCTCACAAGTCACACACCTCTCAATGACGTACGGGAAGACACCCCCAGCCGTGATCCTTGTCAGCGCCCTTATCACTTTCGCTATTGCTGACATTGACTACCTACCAGGTTTGCCTCCTCAGTGCTGCATTGATCATTGGCTGCCAGTTCCTACCGTCGCAGAATCCTTTGGGTACTTGCGGGGTAGGAATCCTCTCATAAATCATAGGCAGTAGGCTCCAACTCGCTTCTCGATTTTGACACACTCCACTATGACATCCCAGTTGGTAAAGAAACTAGGGTCCTGATCAGCTCCCTCTAGGATGTAGGATCGAATATCATAGTCATCAGTGTCAAGGAATCTAGAGACAAGCACATGCACAGTCGTTGTATTTTTCACACAAGTAATACATTTAACAAACATATAAGGGAAGGCACCACCGCAGGTGACACGAGTTAGGGCTTCTAGGACATTATACTCTTCAGTCATCATCTGGTTTGTGACTTATGGACTCGTCAAGCGAAGGATCCAGAAAACAAATTTAAAACTTTAGCTTGCATGTCTGAATCACTTCAGATAGACCTTTGCAAGAGGCCCCTCCTCTCGGGGCTCGTCTAGCCGAAAGTCTTTCTGACCTGAGTCAGACCTTGTACAAGATATGTTAGATTGCTGCCTAGTCACAGAATTTTGCGACCAAGGTCCGCTCCCAGGAACTCGAAGTTTTTGAGTCCCCGCCAACTGCGTCATCTTTATCGCGCCCCCACTGTTTCAAGGGTCCGGTGAGATGTCCTTCCCCGGACTGAGCTCAGTGGGTTGGAGGACTGGCAGGCTGTCATGCATAAATTTTTGATAGGTGTAAAAATGAAAGTTTATTCAGAAGCAGTCACACTTTGTCATACAGCCGAGTAGTCAGGGTTATTCCTCCTGCCAGCGGCGACACAGCTTAGAGTGAGGCGTTCGGGTTTATCGCCTGCACCTGACCCCGTATAAAGGATAGACTAAAGGTCACCGGAGTCCCTATCATTCAGGAGTCCTTCAAGCTGCCTTGAGTGTAACATGTATATCATAAGGAGGAAAATAGCATGTATTCATCATAGAGCAACTGAAGCAACTGACATTGACAAAATGAGAAGACCAGAAATCTGACTCTGCAAGAGCATGACCAGAGATACGAGACTGAAGAGTGGTACACAATGTATGCAGGGAGCAGCCATCGGAGGGTTGTAGTCACTAATAAATAATAGTGTCGTAAAACATCATAGTGACTGAAAAGAGAGAACC